ATACAGACTTGACATACATACATTATCTGCTTCCCATACTCCCATTATCTGCTTCCCATACTCCCATTATCTGCTTCCCATACTCCCATTATCTGATTCCCATACTCCCATTATCTGATTCCCATACAACCATTATCTGATTCCCATACAACCATTATCTGATTCCCATGCCCCCATTATCTGATTCCTATACCCCCATTATCTGGTTCAGATGCTTCCATTATTTGGTTCCCATACCCCCCAGGGGTATGGATACCCCGGTGTTGTGAATCCCTGTTCTGCACTGTCTCCAATTTCTGAATCACGATTCGCGAATTTAAGTATTATCCTTTTAAATCTCTTCAAGAACACAATTTCTCTTAGAAATTCCTTCAAGAACACAATTACGCCTAAAATCCCTTCAAGAACACAATTTTCGCCTAGAAATCCCTTCAAGAACACAATTTCGCCTAGAAATCCCTTCAAGAACACAATTTTCGCCTAGAAATCCCTTCAAGAACACAATTTTCGCCTAGAAATCCCTTCAAGAACACAATTTCGCCTAGAAATCCCTTCAAGAACACAATTTTCGCCTAGAAATCCCTTCAAGAACACAATTTCGCCTAGAAATCCCTTCAAGAACACAATTTCGCTTACAAATCCCTTCAAGAACACAATTTCGCCTAGAAATCCCTTCAAGAACACAATTTCGCCTAGAAATCCCTTCAAGAACACAATTTTCGCCTAGAAATCCCTTCAAGAACACAATTTCGCCTAGAAATCCCTTCAAGAACACAATTTTCGCCTAGAAATCCCTTCAAGAACACAATTTCGCCTAGAAATCCCTTCAAGAACACAATTTTCGCCTAGAAATCCCTTCAAGAACACAATTTCGCCTAGAAATCCCTTCAAGAAAACAATTTTCGCCTAGAAATCCCTTCAAGAACACAATTTCGCCTAGAAATCCCTTCAAGAACACAATTTCGCTTGTCATCTGGGAGGATACAAAAAAACTGTTCTGTTCTGGGTAGTTCACAGATTTTTCGATTTGAAAATTGATTTTAATAAGTTAGATGTTGAGGCCAAGACGTAACTGTTACAGTTTAAGTGGTTGATATTAAGATTGTAACTGACGGATGCCAGTTAGAAGTGTTTAGACTGAAGTTTTAGTGAAGTATAAACATCCAGGATGTTTATCATGTAAATGTTTATGGAATGGATGTTCTTTTTTGTTAGATATTTTGATTCGGTGTGTTCAGTGACGTGCACGGTGCGTTGAGTGACGTGCACGGTGCGATGAGTGACGTGCACGGTGCGTTGATATATACGGTGCGTTGAGTAACGTGCACGGTGCGTTGAGTGACGTATACGGTGCGTTGAGTGACGTATACAGTGCGTTGAGTGACGTACACGGTGCGTTGAGTGACCTACATGGTGTGTTGAGTGACCTACATGGTGTGTTGAGTGACCTACATGGTGTGTTGAGTGACCTACATGGTGTGTTGAGTGACCTACATGGTGTGTTGAGTGACCTACATGGTGTGTTGAGTAACCTACACGGTGTGTTGAGTGACCTACATGGTGTGTTGAGTGACCTATATGGTGTGTTGAGTGACCTACATGGTGTGTTGAGTGACCTACATGGTGTGTTGAGTAACCTACACGGTGTGTTGAGTGACCTACACGGGTTTTCATCGCTTCCCATGTACAGGATGGACGTTCCCTCTATGGATGGTCACGTTGGCGCCCTGGTAAAGGTAAATAGCAGCGCCTGGACCGTGAAGTATTAGACTCCAAACCCTGAAAAGAACGGTAATGGAGGAGGAGAGCAAGTAGAAGAAGAAGAAGAAGAAGAAGAAGAAGAAGAACAACAACAACAACAACAACAACAACAACAACAACAACAACAACAACAACAACAACAACAACAAGAACAAGAAGAAGAAGAAATAATTATTGGGATTATTAACCAGGTGAGTTAGTAACCCATAACAACTCAAGAAAGGCAGCCAATGCAGCATTTCCTCTCCCCCAGGATGCCACCCACACAAGTCTACTATCGGCCAGGTGCCCTACCTACTGCTAAGTGAATAGAAGCAACAAGTGTAAGGAAGCATTTCCAAACTTTCCACCTGCCCCAGGATCAAACCCTGACTCCTCGGTTGTGAGCCGAAGGCAGTACACGACTACAAACACCTATAAATATATATATATATATAATATATATATATATTATATATATATTATATATATATATATATATATATATATATATATAAAATATAATATATATAATATATATATATATATATATTAAAATTCTCATAATCACTTATAGATGAGAAGTAAGGAATCTACGTGTGTAAAAACGAATAAATCGCAGGTAAATGAGCTCCTCTAGCTCTGCTGAAGAGGGGCTCAGCGAGTAACATAGAAATCTCTTTTTTACCTGTGTCATACTGTTTCCTGTCCAAGTGGTTTCCTCACTTGTAGACACAATGTAATAGTCACAGACCAGTCTGTGAGACACACGGGGTGAGTGTGAGACCAGTCTGTGAGGCACACGGGGTAAGTATGAGACCAGTCTGTGAGACACACGGGGTGAGTGTGAGACCAGTCTGTGAGACACACGGGGTGAGTAAGAGATCTGTCAGTGAGACACACGGGGTGAGTGTGAGACCAGTCTGTGAGGCACACGGGGTGAGTATGAGACCAGTCTGTGAGACACACGGGGTGAGTATGAGACCAGTCTGTGAGACACACGGGGTGAGCATGAGACCAGTCTGTGAGACACACGGGGTGAGAGACCTGTCTGTGAGACACGCGGGGTGAGTGTGAGACCAGTCTGTGAGACACACGGGTGAGTGTGAGACCAGTTTGTGAGACACACAGGGTGAGTAAGAGACCTGTCTGTGAGACACACGGGGTGAGTGTGAGACTAGTCTGTGAGACACACGGGGTGAGTGTGAGACCAGTCTGTGAGACACACGGGGTGAGTGTGAGACCAGTCTGTGAGACACACGGGGTGAGTGTGAGACCAGTCTGTGAGACACACGGCGTGAGTAAGAGACCTGTCTGTGAGGCACACGGGGTGAGTGTGAGACCAGTCTGTGAGACACACGGGGTTAGTATGAGACCAGTCTGTGAGCCACACGGGGTAAGTGTGAGACCAGTCTGTGAGACACACGGGGTGAGTGTGAGACCAGTCTGTGAGACACACGGGGTGAGTATGAGACCAGTCTGTGAGACACACGGGGTAAGTATGAGACCAGTCTGTGAGACACACGGGGTGAGAGACCTGTCTGTGAGACACACGGGGTGAGTATAAGACCAGTCTGTGAGACACACGGGGTGAGAGACCTGTCTGTGAGGCACTCATGGTGTGTGTGAGATAAGTCTGTGAGACACACGGGGTGAGTATGAGACCAGTCTGTGAAACACACGGGGTGAGTATGAGACCAGTCAGTGAGACACACGGGGTGAGTGTGAGACAAGTCTGTGAGACACACGGGGTGTGTGTGTGACACAAGTCTGTGAGACACACGGGTGAGTGTGAGACCAGTCTGTGAGACACACGGGGTGAGTAAGAGACCTGTCTGTGAGACACACGGGGTGAGTGTGAGACTAGTCTGTGAGACATACGGGGTGAGTGTGAGACCAGTCTGTGAGACACACGGGGTGAGTGTGAGAGCAGTCTGTGAGACACACGGGGTGAGTAAGAGACCTGTCTGTGAGGCACACGGGGTGAGTGTGAGACCAGTCTGTGAGACACACGGGGTGAGTAAGAGACCTGTCTGTGAGGCACACGGGGTGAGTGTGAGACCAGTCTGTGAGACACACGGGGTGAGTGTGAGACCAGTCTGTGAGACACACGGGGTGAGTAAGAGACCTGTCTGTGAGGCACACGGGGTGAGTGTGAGACCAGTCTGTGAGACACACGGGGTGAGTAAGAGACCTGTCTGTGAGGCACACGGGGTGAGTGTGAGACCAGTCTGTGAGACACACGGGGTTAGTATGAGACCAGTCTGTGAGCCACACGGGGTAAGTGTGAGACCAGTCTGTGAGACACACGGGGTGAGTGTGAGACCAGTCTGTGAGACACACGGGGTGAGTATGAGACCAGTCTGTGAGACACACGGGGTAAGTATGAGACCAGTCTGTGAGACACATGGGGTGAGAGACCTGTCTGTGAGACACGGGGTGAGTATAAGACCAGTCTATGAGACACACGGGGTGAGAGACCTGTCTGTGAGGCACTCATGGTGTGTGTGAGATAAGTCTGTGAGACACACGGGGTGAGTATGAGACCAGTCTGTGAAACACGGGGTGAGTATGAGACCAGTCAGTGAGATACACGGGGTGAGTGTGAGACAAGTCTGTGAGACACACGGGGTGTGTGTGTGTGACACAAGTCTGTGAGACACACGGGGTGAGTATGAGACCAGTCTGTGAGATACACAGGGCGAGTATGAGACAAGTCTGTGAGACACACGGGGTGAGTGTGAGACAAGTCTGTGAGACACACGGGTGTGTGTGAGACAAGTCTGTGAGACACACGGGATGAGTGTGAGACAAGTCTGTGAGACACACGGGGTGAGTGTGAGACAAGTCTGTGAGACACACGGAGTGTGTGTGAGACAAGTCTGTGAGACACACGAGGTGAGTGTGAGACTAGTCTGTGAGACACACGGGGTGAATGAGACCAGTCTGTGAGACACACGGGGTAAGTGTGAGACAAGTCTGTGAGACACACGGGGTGAGTGTGAGACAAGACTGTGAGACACACGGGGTGTGTGTGAGACAAGTCTGTGAGACACACGAGGTGAGTGTGAGACTAGTCTGTGAGACACACGGGGTGAATGAGACCAGTCTGTGAGACACACGGGTGAGTGTGAGACACACTAGGTGTGTGTGAGATCAGTCAGTGAGACACACGGGGTGAGTGTGAGACAAGTCTGTGAGACAGGGTGAGTACGAGACCAGTCAGTGAGAGACAGTCAGGAACCACCACATATACGCACATCCTCACTCCACAAGGTGCTCTGCTATACTGACGCTTCACTACCACCACCACCACCACCACCCAGCACCACCACACCACCACCACAACCACCACCACCACCCAGCACCACCACCACTACAACCCACCACCACCCACGACACACCACCACAACCACCACCACTCACCACACACCACCAGAACCAACACCACACACCAACACCCAGCACCACCACCAAGCATCACACACCACTGCCACCACCAAGCACCACACACCACCACCAACCAGCACCACCAAGCACCACCACCAAGCATCACACACCACTACCACCACCAAGCGCCACACACTACAACCACCCAGCACCCCCATACACCACCAAGCACCACGCAGCACCACCACCAAGCACCACACACCACAACCACCCAGCACCCCCAACCACCACCAAGCACCACCCAGCACCACCACCAAGCACCACCACCAAGCATCACACACCACTACCACCACCAAGCACCACACCCCACAACCATCCAGCACCACCACCAAGCACCACACACCACCACCACCCAGCATCACAAAGCACCACCAAGCACCACATACCACCACCACCACACCACCAAGCACCACACCACCAACACCACCAC